TAGCATTCCCGAAAGTACATGATAATTCTAGAAACGTTGCGTCACGTGGTCATGTGACTCGCTGACGCAACAGTATTATAGTTTGATAGAGTCGTTAATGCTTTGCTGTATGATTAAAGTTCTCAAAAGAGTTGATATGCACGTTTTTTTACAAAATTTGGTTTTTGATAAATATTTTTACAATCACTTGTGTATTCTTTCATTGTAAAAAGTATTTAAGGTTGTTCTGCTTTCCATCTAAATCTAGTACGCTTTACAATTTTGCAGATGGCGATTTGATACATATATAACCGAAGTTGCAACAGTTTTGGTGACGTGTTTAATATTTTTCACACTACACTCTACCGCTGTTTAAGTTGAAGAAATATGAGTGATAGATCTAATTAAATAAATGTATTTGATGCATCAGTATATTCGTTTTTAGCCGTAATTAGTTAAAGGCTCTTGCGCAGCACGAGAATATTAAGGTATATGTATTAAAATAATATCACACCAATTTTCTCATTTAATGATACACAAAAGCTCATTAGACAACAATCCCTCCTCTCGAAACTGCAGCGCTCATCTAGTAATGTTAATATTTTTTCACTATGTTTTTATATTTACACCTATGTGTAATTGTTTATTAAGAATTGTGACAAGTCATTCTTCTTATTCCTTTCAAATACAGTTTTTGTGAAAGCTTATGTCATGATACAAATAGAAATTGTTGTTTTATGTAACTTTTCATGCTTGTATCACACTTTTGTTATTAACTTCGATGCTTGTATCATACTTTTGTTATTAATTTCGCGCAAAGCTACACGAGGGCTAAAGGGAAGGCAGTTAGTCATCACCACCCACCGCCAACTCTTGGGCTATTCTTTTATCAACGCCACAGATAATACTAAATATTATAACAATAGCCTGTATTAGTACTTGTGCAGTAAAATTGTTATATGTCTTTTAATTTATATCATATATTTATTTCAAAATGTCTCAGATTTTACTTATCGATATGATTAACTTAATAAGTTAACATTCTAATTTTTATTTCATTTTTGCTACAATTAATATATCAAAAGTTATGTTTCTAATTCAGTGTATATCAGTTCGAATTGTATTTACTACTTGGTCTGTGCTATTCCAAATTCAATGATATATCTTAATATATTTTTTTTCAATGGCTAACTACCAATCTGGCTTTCAGGTACTGGAGAAAATTGAACTAATTTTCATTTAACTGAAATTATTCTGCCAAAGTTGATGAAACTGATCATTTACAGTTGTATATCACTTTATAATTATTCATAAATTGAGAGTAAAGTATTCTAGGCTTGTAAAGTATAAGTATGTTCATGTATATTAGATATAACCGCTTAGCCTAGAATAGCGAACATATGTTGCTCCAGAATAGGATATTGGGTGTTTTATTTTAATCAACGCTAAGTGAAAAAAACAAAAAAACCATTTACGTCACAAAACAAGACACCGTTCGGAGATACGATAGCGTAATTATTCACCATAAGCTAGTGAAAGGTGGCTAAGAGGTGTAGAAACACTTGATGTTTGGTGAGATAGAAGAGTGATCAATAAACGTTGTTCAATCCTTTGCATGGATCAACTATTGTACTATGATTAAATTTTTCAAAGAAATAAGTCAATAAATCATGAATAGATGTCTAAACGTTTTAAGATATTAACAAAAATGCAACCATGTTGTATATATGTGCGAAATATCTATTTAAGAAGACTTTAGATAATAGGTGAATAATTTCTTTTCATATACATTTCAGTTACCATCATCAGCTCTGTTTAACATACCCACTTTTACATTATTTCTTTACAGTGTTCACTCTTTTATATAATTTGATCTTTTTTTGACATAAAAACAAACGTATTTACCTATGGTAACTCTACCCCAGTTACATCTTCACATGATGTACTCACCAAAGGCTGTTGATTCAGGATTCTTCAATTCAAAGTCGTGTTGTGCTGCAGCACAAACCTGTTTTAAGAAGACCAGTGGATACTTCACGATGTTGTGGTCACTGACAAACAAGAAGACGACCGTGCCTTCTATTTCATGCATATATATATAGCTGGACAAGCTTATTGGGTTTGGTGAGTGGCATCTGCATACATTTTTTTATGGTGGTTCTTTCTGCTCGGGTGGGTGTCTGCTCTCTGTTTGAGTCTGGGCTGTAGCCATGGAAAATTGATTCTTCTGAGGTATTGGCTGCTGCTGGGCATTTTTCTGAGATAGACTTGGTGGTTGCTGCGTTAGTGGTTGTGGTACCTCTAGTGGAAGGAACCTTGTAGTGGGCACTTGTGACTTGTTGGTAGTTGGGGCATCATCTGTAGGAAGTGGCATTGAGACCTCCACAGTTGATGCAACGAGTCTCCTCCCATTGTTTAAGCCAATCTGTTACCAATTGGTTTCTGTAACATCAGAAATACTTGTATTGGGGAGTACAGGTAGTCCTGATGTGGCAAAAGATTGTTTTTGAATTTCGCGCAAAGCTACACGAGGGCTATCTGCGCTAGCTGTCCCTAATTTAGCAGTGTCAGACTAGAGGGAAGGCAGCTAGTCATCACAACCCACCGCCAACTCTTGGGCTACTCTTTTACCAACGAATAGTGGGATTGACCGTCACATTATAACGCCCCACGGCTGAAAGGGCGAACATGTTTGGTGTGACGGAGATTCGAACTCGCGACCCTCTGATTGCGAGCCGAGCACCCTAACCACCTGGCCATGCCGGGCCATGGCAAAAGAACATTGCTCAATCCTGCATGAATGAACTACTGTACTAGGATTAAAAGTCTGGAAGAAAAAAGTCAATAACTCATAAATAGATGTCTAAACACTTTAAGATATCACCCAAAATACAACCATCTTGTAGATATGTGCCAAAGAGTATTTAAGAAGAGTTTCAAAGATAATACGTGACAGATCAAGATCAGTCCCTTGTAAAAGAAAATGGTAAGTAAGAAAACTGTGATCAACGCAGAGCCTTTCCAGGATAACTTTCACTCTCTGGTTCCTATCAAACTAGATTGTCATTCAGCAAAAATAGGTCCTATGTGTGTTTTAGGATCTTGATTTGCTGTTTAGAGGTTAATTGTAAGGTCATCATAGGAAATTGATGAGTAGGATAGCCTAGAGCAACTACTCTAGAATGATCATGAACTTTACAGATGATAATACTTCTCTTGAGTGGGAATCACTGATCATGTTGATATTTAACTTGACTCCATTGAAAGCAGACTCTGACCAGGGCTCTAGCAATTTAGCATTCTCTAGGGGAAAAGTACATTTGATGCAAACCACTTCCTGGGATAGGTGGTGAATTTGGGCAAACATAATTGCTGGGAAAGGGCAGTGAAGCCCAGCAGTAATCGGTGTCTATTAATACTTGAGTGGTATCACTTCCACTATTATGGCTGATGAGCAACTAATAGATTGAGTGCTGGCTGGGTGAAGCAGATTCTTGGAAGAGGCCTGGCTGGAGGCAACTTGCTAAAGAAGAGTGATTTTGCACTGTTGAGTTGCTGGTTGGCTGTAGGTGATGTTTCCTGGAAAATTAAGGTAGATAAGGTTGAAATGCTGTAGCAAGAGGTATTGAGGTCACCATCAGGGCAATAGTTACTCTCGGAGTTGAACATTTCATTCCATATGTGTTTAGGGTCTTGAGTTGCTGTGTAGAAGTTAGCAGTAAGATCATCAATTGAACAATTGATGTTGTGGATCCCTTCATAGCTTGAGCCCCCCCCCCCCAAACCCTTACTTTTGTGGAGAAGACTTAGTCAGAAAGCCATGAATGTCTTTACTAGTAACACTAGGAACATAGCAGGTCGGTATAAGCTAGTATCTTGTTTACCGATTAAAACGGAATATTGTAACTCGAGTTACAAAAATAGCTTTTAAATAGACATGCGACAATAAACCTGAACAAGTTCACCATCGCCAATGATATTATCCAATGTCAATGGAAAAACACAAGCAAATAATGTACTAAATGGCATCATAACTCAACATGGTATCCATAGCATAAGAAGAAAATGAGGCAGTTGTGACTTAAATGTCACAAAGTGCACACATTGGCAGATCAGTCCCTTGTAAAAGAAAATTATGAGCTAGAAAACTTTTGTCAATTCAGAGCCTTTCCAAGATAACTTTCACACTCTGGTTCCTATCAAACTAGATAGCCAGTAAGCAACAATTGGCTTTATCTTGAAAAGCTTGTTATCTGCCAACTGGCGTGAAGTCTTGCCTAGAAGACATACTTAAACTCTGAATATGGGATAGGCTAGGTTGCAAACCGTTTTTTGCTACAGTGTCAACAGGCTCATTCCTTCTAATTTTAATATACTACGAATTCAAAAAAGCTAAGTAGCAATGGGTGATAACAAGATATGGACTAATATTTTCTGAATGTCTAAGAGAACTGGGTAAGAATTAACGTACAAAACTGTAGCAAACCACGACTGAATCCCCAGAGTCATCTGATTTTGAACCATCTGTAAAAATAGGAACAAAAAGATCGGTCAAAAGGTGTTCATTGAAGAGGACTACTTCCAGTCGAACATTTCCATCTTCTTCAAGTAATTCAAATAATGACCACAAGTAGTAATGGTAACAAGCCATGGTATGATGAGTTGATCATCAGATAATGCAATATCATCCAATGTCAAACTCGTTTCCGTTAACTTTGCCCTGATACTAATGCCAAAGGCAGGAATAGCAGATCACCTATTTGCAAAAAAGTATAGTCCACCGAGAAATAAAGACACATTGCCAGATGGGATGTTGTAGTAGGGATCAGAGACAGGCAGCATAATGCAAAAAAAAAAATAATAAGTTGCAAGTGTCTGAGGTGAAATAGATGCTTATGTGTACAAACCCTGGACTGGAGAAGTGAACTAAGCTTCTTTGAAGAACTAAAGCGTCTGATGAAACATAGAGTTCAACATCTCCTGGCTGGAGCATAGACCAAAAACCTATAATCCAGCTTAGCTCAAATCAGTGTATGATAGATTATGAACATAGAAAACCTACTTGCTATTTGTTATGAATGTACTTCCAAATTTATTTCCTTGCATATGTACCTGGGTCGCTGTTTTATAGTTTTGCTATTTCAACAAACTATCTCGTGATTAAATAAAGAACTACCGAATTTTTTTTTTCTTGACTGGTAGCTGTGAGATGACACCTACTTCAAACTATTGAGATGCGTATGATATATTTAGAACATTGAGGTAGGATAGGATTATTTAGTGAAGTAACTTAAACGGTTTATTGTGTTTATTTTGGCATTTAGGTAATACTGGGTGGTCTGTATTAAATTGCCGATTTTGTATGTTTTTTGAACATTCATTCATTTACAGTCATAATAATTAATTTATTGAATATCTATTATGTATTTTAACTAATTTATTTCAGGTTTACGTAACTAATCGTAACAGTTAAACCTGTTTTAATTTTCAGTAAGCCTTATTGGTTAATATACATTTGTCTATATTGATCTTAAAATTATTTTTCAAAATATTTTTTGTCATGTTACTGCTATAATTCTTACTAAGCCTCAGGAGTTATCCAGAATTACTTTCAAAATGGTTTTATTTTATTATGGAAAAATACTGATGACAAACGTATGTACCTAAAAGCAAATTATTAGGTATTGATACTGGTCAGATCAGTAACGTTGGTTCACTTTCAACTTCTGGCCCATAATTTGCACATAATTAGAACCACCAGGCGTAGTCGTTCCAGTTTAAATCCTTTTACACCAGGTATATTCGAGACTTTAAAAAGAAATATCACATTTTAAGAAATGTTAAGAATACTCAAATCAAAGTATGGTGAGTGACAGAGAGATGTTATTAAATTCCTTATTTTATTAGCTTTATGGTTTGTTTGTTTGTTTTAGAGCATAGCCACAGTGGGCCATATGTTGTGTCTACCACGTGGAATCGAACCTCGGATTTCAGCGATATAAGTTCCTAAGCTTACCGCTGTCTCACCGGGGAACTATTAGCTTGATCTTATCTTCCGTGGTTTAAGTGCATGAAATTGTATATAAAAACTTGGAAGCACTTTTGTTAAAAACTATCTTTATCATTTTCTTATTCCGTTAGTGATGCCATACTACATACATTCTTCAAATATATCAACTTCCTGATTTATTAATTTTCAGAAATTAATTCACCCATTTACTGAATTAAAACAAAGAAGTATTTTGAGAGGATTTTAAAAAGCTAGAAATGTATGCTCAGTGTTTCTCCAATATCTTCTATTAGAGATTTATTATAAATAATACATAATTGTGGTGTTGCAATAATTAAACTTATGAAATTGATTTAAACACGATTTACGGATTTCATTTGAGAAAAGAAGATTCATTAAAATGTAATCACACCACATGGATTGGGAGAGTGGAAACATGGACCATGAATATAAAAAAACAAAATGTATTATTTAAGAACAAATGTTTCTACAGTGTTCGTAAAAGAAAAAAATTACGTATTTAATTCAGTTATCGTGCTTCAGTTTAGAAGTTGGAGGTTGTCTCATCTTGGGAAAATTGTTACAATACATATCTGTATATCAATTCCATGAGATGAAGTGTGAGCATTGTTATTTCAAGAACATGGTTAATATTGACCAATAACTGACAAATGAAAAAGAAAGCTAAGAACAGTATGAATTAGTAGTTTAATGAGTTCCATATATATACATAGTATAGTATAAACCATTAAGTTTAAGAGTACTGTGTTAAATCTTGAATAAAATTTTGTAAGCTACATTGTTATTTTGTTTGTGATACAAGTATAATTACTAAAAATATACTACAGTGACGATATTTTGTTATAAGTTTTCAGTGATTTATGCATTATTGGGAGTATTGTAATAATTGAGTCAAATTACTGATCTACATGAATGCTATGGAAGAATAGGCCTACGATTAGGCTTAACAATTTTATGATTTACTGATGTAGGAGCTAGAGTAATTAAATTGACAATGGCTATAAAATGCAGGAATTATAGTATTTTAAGAGAACCTGACAACTAAAAGGAATGAGAGTTTCTCAATCTGTTCAAGTTATCCTGAACTACGGGAAGTTGGAAGTTTACATAAGGATCTCCATTGGGCAAATTCGGAACTTATGACAAAGCGTTCCAATTGACATAAGAACAATACGTGATTAAGTGAATAGTGTCTTACTAAAAGAGTGTCTCTAGGTAATAATAACTAGCTAGAACACAGGCACAATCGAAAATAGGAATAGACGAATGCATTTATTAGAGCTTAGTTCGTGTAGTGATGTATCGTAAGATACTAAACATAACAACTTGGTAAATGTTATAGTGCACCACATTGTGTCGTATGTTGTTCAGTGATTGTTAGTTCATAGAAATATGTTAAAAGTCAAATGGGAATTATTGTCTGTAATTGAGCTGTGTACTATATGTTGATTAATAAATATTTGTGATGTATTAGGCTGTTAAAATAAATAAATAAGTGATTTTAATAAACATCCTATTTAAACCAAGTACAAAACATACTTCACTATCAAGCTACCTAAAAGCAATCAGATAACAAAACACTTTAGTTGGATAAAGGGTGTCAAAATACAATAGAAACATCTGACCTTTAGGATACCTAAAAAGTGATCAAGTCCATTAAAACAAGCATTGTTCAAGCCTAGCATAGTTGAATTATAATTAAAATACTGAATTGATAAGTCAGTGCATCTTGAAATAAACATGTATGGGTCTGAGAGTTCTAAAGTATCGTGCATACAATCATGAGGTGAATATGTGACGAATAGCTATTTCATAAGGGTTTCAAAGAGAGTACATGAAAGTCTTGAAAAGTGCCTCATACTGTATGAGATACATTAAACTTAATCTAACTAGCTAAAACAGAGGCATAATAGAAAAGACTTCATAGTAGTAAGATGTAAAAGCTGTTGCTTAGACGAATTCATTTATTAACTTAACTCCAACTGAGTTATCTCGAAGTATATCCAAAATTATAATAATAGGTAAATACACAATGCCATGTAAAGTAATTTACAATAAAGTTTAAATCAATACTAACGGAACAATACCAAATTTTTTGAGTTGATGATTGAAGTATACTGGAACAAAATTGACAAATGTTTAGACGAGTTTATTATATTTACCATGAATATATTTTGTTTATTGAATCAATTATTTCTGTGTTTCCTATTCTCGCGTAAACTTATTTGAGTTATCTGAAAATATAGCAGTACCCGATATTTAAATAAATGCTATTTGTAATAGCGATTAAAACATTGCCTATTCCCGTCTATATGTAATAATAGCAATAATAAGCCTCTCGTTGCAATACTTTGTTATTACACCTTATTATTCTTATTGACCGACACAATAAAACATTAAGTTGTTTTATTTTGTTTTTCTTTACAGGCTATTCTCGCTTTTGGCGTTTTTCTGTGGTCGTTAGTGAACCAAGAAACAAAATGGATAATGTATGCAAACTGGATACTAATTACTAGCGGTCAGTTTTCAAGCCGGCTCTGGACAGTTATTCTGGCATTTGCTTTAGTCCTTGTTGCTCAGCATAAAAGTGACCAAGCATCCAAGTTTCTTCGATTCATGCTTGTAGTTGGCTTTGGGCAAGTGCTTTAAGTCTTTTATATTTAACCATTTATTTCATCCTTGATTAAGATTCTCTTATTTTACTTTTACATGGGTTTGAGTAAACTTTCAACAACTGTAACAGTGTGTAACGCTACAAAGATTGAAAACTTTTGTATCATATCTACGATACAACGATTTTTAAGCGCTAATGTTTTTTTTGTTGTTTTTTTTTGAAATTTAGCTTTTCTTATGTGTTGTAACTGAATCATTGAATTAGTGTTTTGTCTGAAACTGTATAAATTTGTTCTAGCTTGTCGTTGTGATGAAACATCAAATACTTGCTCATAATCTTTAGAATGACTTTTTTGGTTGTGTTGAAGCCTTAAAGTAATTTAAAGGTCTGGTAATTTGTAAAAGTTTTACAATTTAACTACACTCACTGTTTTTAAAAACACAATACTAGTGAATTTTTACTCTAACTTTGAATCTGAACAAAAGCGGCAGGTACTTTCTATTCACTGTATCTGTAACTTTGTGTACATATTGTAAAAATAAACTGGCGTAAGATTATAATGGAAAATAGCGAGAACATTAAACCTAAGTGGCATGTCCATGAACATTAGCCAATTATAAATTGTTTACAGTGTAAAGACATTTACTATAGTATAGAATTGTCAAGTAGTGGTTGATAACAAGTATCTCTATTTCATTTTGATCACTGTTCAATTAGCATGTGAATTAACTGGTGGCCTCTTGACTACTGTAGCCGAGTTTTATCATGGAAGTCTGTCTCTTCTTCTGATCTCTGTCTAAAGCTACTAAGAAAAAGACAAAGCTTCAAATTCTTTGTTAATTTTTTTTTTTCATTTCATAATGTACATCTTTGATTCGTCCGTCACTCCAAAACATGGTTTTAAACCTCTTGTTCGTTAAAGGAGTCTCTTGTTCATTAAGATACAGTTGGAACTCATCCCGGCCACACTTTGCTATAAACTGCTTTTCTAATGTTTATGTATTGACTATCAAAAATCGTATATTGGTGCAATAAAAACATTAGGGTTGAAATGTGATGAGCATATTTTCCTGTTGTCTATAATTTGGAAATTACTTCCTGGATCTTTACGAATTTCCTGAATCCGCAAATTACGTATTGTTTTATCCTTCGTAAACTTGTGCCACGTTATGTTCTCACCAGTCACTTTACTTTCGAAATAGTACCAGCGACCCATTTAACATCAAGGTTTTGTTCGTAAACAATTTTTCAAATCATAATGATAAGATTTTGAAACCATTTGTTTTATATTATAAAATATATTATCAAAATATTTTACGTTAATTAGATATTAATAAGAATTTCGCATTGATTTTGTTTTAACACTACGAACATGCCGTCAACGGGTTATGCTTATTAGCTAGACCTATTTCCCTTCAATAAAGTAATTTATCAACTTGGCAACTCATCTATCAGCGAAAATTCAATGTGGCTTGTCATTTATATGAATAACTAATAACCCAATCCAAAAATACTATTTCATGCCTCTGGTATAAAATTCATAATGAATTCTCAATGATATTGAAATAAAAGTACATATAGTTAGCAGTAGAACATGAAGCATGTATCTCTTTAACAGAAGAACGACCAACAGCAAGTATAGTTGGTTGTGATTTAAGAACCTTACAAGTAATTAAGCTTAAAAAGAAAAAACTAAACTGAAATAAAATAACAAGTCAATTAATACACACAAATCAACATGAATGTGATATATATTACCAATAATGAAACTGTTGCTGAGAAGAGCTTAGGAAATGCTTGGATTGAATAGAACTTAAGTGAAAGTTAAATATGATGTTCGAAATCAAGAACACCAAATGCACTTAAAAAACTTCACATTATCTTAGCAATTCACAGACATTTAACAGCATCCATTAATCTTTGATAGATAGTTTAAGCAGAGTATCCATGTTGAACTGACTATGAAATGTACGGCTACTGTCTATTAGAGAACCACTGGTAGAAAATATATTTGGTTACATACGATGTACTTATGCAGCTTAAATGTAAAGAAAGACGATTTCGAAAGTCTACCGCCTTTCGTTTTCATATACCTAAATCGCTTTTCTAGTAAACTAGCATTGGTTTTATTTCTGTTATTTTTCTCTTCAGCAATACAAGATTGTTGATTTGAATAAAATATGTGGAAATATGTACGATATTGCTGGATCAAAGCAAACTGTCAAAACAAATTATGCTTGGAGTATCTTTATTGAAACTTAGTTTATTTAGGAAAACCACTATTTAAGATATGTTACGTCTCCGTTTGTTAATTAACTTTCCGTAACTTAGCGTTTGTTTAGCGCGATTGTTGAAGTTGAGTGTATCGGTAAAGTTGTATTCGGAAAGAATAAACCAGTTTTATTAAGTAAAGAACTTGTGTCGCAAGTTTCGTCGGAACGATAACGACGAACGTGCTCAATAATACTTCTGACTGCAGATCAATCACTCACAATCTACGCACACATTACATTACCGCGTCACGTTGTCCCCTCTTATATATACCCGCCTACCCCATCTAGCAAACACTAGAGCATTCATGAAGAAACAAGATAGTTCTAGAAACGTGGCGTCACAGTGGTCATGTGACTTGCTGACGCAACAATATAATCATTATAAACATAGGGCTTTATTTATACTCACTGTATATACAGTATATACCAAAATTAAGTAGTTCTTGTTGTTTCATATGATAGTACTGTTCTTATTTTTATATACTATATTACTAATAATAATTCATTCAAATTATTGTATACAAGCTGGCACTGAAGACAATAAACGTCTTTCATATGTTCCAGGATCCCACTTGTGGTGGTATTCTGTTTAATAATAGAAATGATCGTCAACAATCGGAGTCCTCATGACCATTCGTTACCATTATCTTTGTATGGAGGCATTGAGGTAATACAAGTTTTAAGCTCTGTTTTTTATAGCTTATCTTGATCCATGAGGAGCATGTTAATCAGTTTTTGTTATGATTTTGAGATGTATAATGAGAATGATTGAAATATATGCCAATAAATTATCACTATCGCATTATAGAAAGTCTTGGCCTTCTAAGAATCAACAGAAAAAGGTTAAGATGATTTCCTTAAAAATATTCGATGTATGTACAAAACTTAGCCCAGTTTATTGATACAAAAACTATTATAAGATCACATTAAAGTCATGCTTTTAATGTTCACATCCTGGTTTAAATCTTTAATGGCTGAACTGGAACCTGATTTTATAATAATATAAATAAAATAACATGGTTTGATCAATCTCTATATTCTGTGGCAACAAATATTATGTCTTTTACAAAGACCACTTTTCTCTAACGTAGATTACTTTAGCCAACTTTCATGAATAAAATGTAAGCAAATCTTTCAGTACACCCCTATTGTTTTATTAATAGGTACTGTGTATTGTTACTAGTTTCGTACCCACAGTTCAACTTCTTTTAAAAGCTTTCTGTAATTAGTTAGAATATAAATACTTTTTACTAGATTTTGATTTTTTTTTCAAAGTAAGAAATCTGTGCAAATCATTTGAAATTACTCTTCCAAAGTTTTTTTTCTTTTTTTTTTGGTTTTGAAAAATTCCTACACATTGTGCATTGAACGATTTTATTGTTTTCTATTTTCAACACAAAGGTCACCTTAAACGTGGTTGTACTGACGGTCTGCTTGTTGACTACTATAGCTTTAGTAGTTGTCTACCACCGAAAACTTCAGACGAGTGAAAACGAGAGTCTGCATTCCAGTGGTATGTCTTACAACCATGTAATGATCTATCTTTCAAAGATGCTAGTCGATGGTTTTGTATTTGTATTTCTTATTTTCCTATCTTGTGTTATAAAGATGGCTACTTTCAATTTACTGGTATATGTTGTTCAGTTAACTTCACGATTTTCTACTTTATATATTTCTACACTACTAAATATGTAACGGTCTAAAATGAACACGCCGCTACAGTCAGGGTTCAACAACAAAAACCAATGTATTCACAATAACAACACTTAGAAATAAATTTAACACTTACCAAAACACAGTAAATAAGGAGGTGCTTGGCCAGGACTTCACACCATTATTAATAAACAATTTATCATAAATATTAATAAATCAATAATAATATCGATAACAATATCGATTTGTTTGTTTGAAGTTAAGCACAAAGCTAAACAATGGACTACCTGTGCTCTGCCCACCACGGGTATCAAAACCCGGTTTCTAGCGTTGTAAGCCCGCAGACATGCCGCTGTGCCGCAAGGGGGACCACAATATTGAGTGACAAACAGAAATAACCATATCCTACAATAACACATTCTTTCTCTCTCTTAGTGAAGCTTCTGGCAGGGTATTTCTTCACAGATTAGGTCATGTGATCATAAATTTACATACTCTTCTGCTATATTAATAATGTCTGTATATCACCGCTAGGGAAGCTGGTGTTTACTCAAAATACAAATGATTATGTAGAAGGTGAGTTAGTGTTTTAATGCAACTAAACATTCATTGATAAACTAAATGATAGAATGTAATAATAATTGAACAATAAACCAACCACAATCATAAAAAAATAGTTGCTATCTCACAATTACACTGAGCTTAATTTTTTTGTGAAAATTTTTACACCTCTTTTTCTGGATATCACCTTTTTGTTATGACAACACTCTATTCGGTTTCTTTCCCCAATAGCTCGACAGTAATTATCAGGGCTCATAACACTAAAAGTTGGGTTTCGTTACCTGCGGTGAGCAGAGCACAAATAGCCCAGTGTGTAGCTTTGTGCTTAACATGAAACAAACTACTAATTATTATTATAGAATCGTCAACTTTTTGAAGGCCATAGATAGGCCTAAATAAAATGTTTTTAATTGTGTACCAGTTTCACGTTGAATATTGTTGCGTCAGCGAGGTCACGTGACTAGTGTCACGCCACCTATTTTCTAGAAATATCTTGTTCCTTCGTGAATGCCCTGGCATTTACTAGATATATGTT